TAATATAAGTACCTTTCTTAAAAGTCTTAGTAAACTACAACTGAGGGTTAGCCAACTGAAATAATGCAAATGAATTTCACTTTCTACATAATATATACTTTAGTAACTTCCAAAGATGAAAATTTATTAAATTATTATCTTATTTACAATTTACTTACGTTTAATATCATTAATTTTGTAATACAGAAAATAGTGAGCTTGCATTTTACCAGTAAGTGTGAATTCCTTTGCTTTTTGCAATTTGATTTTTAGAGGCTCAATATTAGCATTTTTAAAGTAAAAGTACTCTGAAATGGCTAAGGTACGATTTAAAGATAACTAAACACTTATTCATACTTATACACTTAAAATTACTGTTTTTCTAAATACAAGTCTCATATGTTTATTTCTAAGTAAACTTATTTCCAAATATTAGTTTAGAATATCTCCAAAATAAGGTATTTGAATACTTTCTGGTATCACTTTAGTTATCTCTTATTTACATGAAAATCTTTGTAGAAATAGGCAGAAAACAATGTAAGATTATGTGGCTCTTTCTATAATCATTCACCAAATATTACCTTTTATATGTTAAAGTTTAGACATCAGAACCACAGTGATCTGTGGGTGGTCTGTGATCTGGTGATCAAAGACCATAGCTTCATATTTCACAACCCCTCCCAGGAGTCAGGCCAAGATGGGTCAGTTAACCTTTTTTTTTCTCACTTAAATTACGTGACCACCCCCTTTCACCTCTGACCCAGGTCATCCAATGTGTGCCATTTTTCAGAGTAGAGGAGTCAGTGTGGAGGTTTAAGTGTACCCTTTCCCTAGTTCTGGAAATACTCAGAAAATGTACTATAATGGTGGTAGAGCTTGTATTGTCAACTTCTGAGATGAACAATTTATTAATTAAGAACTGGATATAGTGCATTATAATCCCATAACCACTAAAATATTGCCAGTCATTTTTAAAATTCGCATGCTATGCTATAGTATTTGATAACCCAGAACACGGACAAATTTACAATTTCAGAATTAAAACTTCCTGAAGACGGAATAGAAAGTAACCCCCTTCCATATACTTTGCAGAAGACTAAAAAGCTCAGTCTTCACTGATCCTTGCTTTTTATGCTTAAATAAAATGTCTTTACATTTTCACCAAAATTTCAAGTACTTTTTGCGCTAATAAAATTGAGGTTTCATGGTACCTGCCTAGTATTAATTAAAACCATACAACGTATCTCTGCCTTGGTCAGCACAGATCAAATAACTATTAAGCTTTGCAGAGTTGAGTCTTGATCAGTTTTCTATCAGCCCACAGCTTTTACACAATGTATAGTTAGAGTCTAGAAGTTTTTCATCCATCATATTTATTGGATACCATTTATGTGTCATGAACATAAATCTTAATATATTAATTTACTGTGCCAAAAAGTTCAAAAGAAAGATTAAGGAGTAATTAAATACATGGAAAATATAAAAGAAGTGTGGCTAACTCTTCTGCAGGAGACTTCTGGACAGAGGAACTTAATAGCAGTGATGATTCAGGAGCATCAGAGTGGGCTAGATTATGCTTCAATCAGACATGTTTTAATATTAGGTTTCCCATTTTTAAAAGGTATGATATCATATGAGAAAATTGTTGATTTTTTTCAAGGCTCTGATTCCTTGTCAAAAATACAGAAAATAGAAATTTTATTTGCTTGTTTAAGACCAGGTTTTGTTATGTAGCCTTTGCTGTCCTGGCTCTTGCTGGTCTTAAACTGAAGTAGTACCCCTCCCTCAGCCTCCCGAGTTAACAAATTGTTATAAATGCTAAATAAATTTGTGAAAATAATATACCTGTAGAATAATAACTTTTAATAAATGGGAGTTGTTAGTATTGGATGTTTATAAGACTTAATTGCAGGAGGTATGGCTCATTATCCCAGAATTTGGAAGCAAAGGCAGAAGGATCATTGTAAATGAGAGGACAGCCTGTGTTATACTAAATTTAAGATAGTCTAGAATAAAGAGTGATCCTAAGACTTTTCCAAAGAATAATAAAAAAGTAATTAAATAAAATAAAATTTAAAAGAGAAAAGAAAATAATAAATGATAAAAGGATGTCTGAGAAAGGAAAGAGTGCATAGATTTTACTACAGTTTTTGACCATGAATAGGGAAGTTTAAGATGGTGGAAAAAAGAAGTAGATGACAAAGTATTTACATTCAGAACTGAGAGGTTTGGATAAGATGGAGAATCTTTCAAGAACTTTCAAGAACTTTGATCACTAGATTGGGATGGAAGAGAGGCCATAAATGTACATTTTGAAAGATTAGTTAAGGAGGTATATGCTCAATTCAAGAAAACAATAGAAAAGTTGATCTGAAGCAATTCCAAGGGATCTGAGCAACAGTAAATACATTTGTTTTGTTTTGTTTTTCAAGACAGGGTTTCTTTGTAGCTTTGGAGCCTGTTCTGGAACTAGCTCTTGTAGACCAGGCTCTGTCCTCTAACTCACAGAGATCTGCCTGCCTCTGCCTCCTGAGTATTGGGATTAAAGGTATGTGTCACCACTGTTCTGCTAATATTAAATAAATATTTAAGAATGACTAAACACTTCTTATCTCATTGAAGTTTATGAGAAATGGAGACTTGTAAAACCACTGAGTTGAGGGGAGTACATATTTATGGGAGATATCTATTATCTATCTATCTATCTATCTATCTATCTATCTATCTATCTAGGAGGCATTCAAATAGCTATGTGTTAAAGAGGATGCTGAATGAAGAAACACATAGGGATGTTAAATTTTATTTTTTTATTTGGTGGTAGAAATTAAATATGGTAAAGTGAGTTATGAACTGCAAACTTGTGGAATAGTGGAGGGTCAGGTTGGTTGGACTGAAATTAAGAGTTGGTTGGTTGGACTGAAATTAAGAGTTGTTTTGAATAAACTGAATTTGAATAAAATATTAGATATCTAAGCAGATATATTGGACAGACTGTGAATGTACAACTCTTGACTTCAAGAAATTCTATGACTAGAGATCATACATATGGGATTTAAACCATGCATCTGCATGGGATAAGTAAAGAACTAGAAAAGTGGGAAAGACAAAAGTCAGGAGCTGAGCACTGAAGCTTCAAAGATTGGACATTTATAAAGATGAAGAACAGCAAAACAGACAAGACATCCGTGATGTAGGAAGAAAATATGCACAGTTTTATTTTGGAGGTCAAGTACAGAAAATATTTAAAAGAATTGGGAGGTATACAATCCATCAAATGATAGTAAGTAGAAATTAGAGAGTATGTTTTTGCTGATGGGAATAATTCAGTAGAAGGAGAAAAATAAGTGAGGCGGAAAAGAGGGAGGAGAGTTGTAGAATTGAGCTTGTAAGCAATAGGAAAATGAGACTCAGAGCTCAATGAAATTGGACTTCATTAAGAATACTATCATTCATTTTTGTCAAACATAAGTCTACTCACATGAGTCTATGGACACACACACTAGCACACATATATACAAACACACATTTTCAAGTCTTATAGCCTCATGCTCTCATTTTCAAAGGTATCACTTTTGCAAGGCAGTATTCCTTTGGATTTTAAGCATAGTCAGAGGGCATTATTAGCAATTCTTATTTGAATTCACTGCCAACCTCTGTGGCCTCTTTGGTTTCTTAGCACTCCACAGCAGATGGTAAAATAAATGGAAGGCACATCACAACAGCTCTAGATGTAGAAAGGGCAAGGAGGTGGTGTGTTTTAAGTAGTGTATTAGAAACCTCTCCAAGGGACTGAGTTTTTGTTGCTATAGCAAATGCTTTTAAGTCTGTAGGTGTCAAAAAGTGGAATAACTGGTTTTTTTAACTTTAAGTATGAAAATGTTTTACTGAGGGTTTTCATCATCCACTTTGTGTGTAAGCTGGAACTTAATTCATCTGTTACATTACTAGAGCCAAGAATAGCAAAGGGTTAAAGCACATGTGAGGAAGACTGAAACATTGTCACTACGTGTGTGTGTGTGTGTGTGTGTGTGTGTGTGTGTGTATGTGTGTGTGTTATACATTCCCAGGGGTGGGTAGGGGTTAGCATTAGACACCCTGCCTTTGTTACCATGGTTAGAGTCTGCTTAGAGTTGTGTGTATATGCATTGTGTGTTCTTGTGTTGGGACACACAAGAGATTGAACCGTTGTGAGTTCATTAGCACTGTGAAGGCGACTCTCAGGAACATCTTAAGTGAGACAAATTGACTGGAGTGGGAGACTGGGGAGCACAGGTATACTGATTTCTTCTAAATGTATGATCTGCTACCTCTAGCTTCTAGGTGGCTTATATTATAGTCTAAAATCCCCGCCCTGGTAGTATTGGTTACTAGGTAATGAAATGGGCGTGGCTTGGTGTATACTACACCTGAGTTTTGTTGGGTCCTGCAAGCCGGCCCTAGGGCAGAGCCTGGGCTCCTGAAGCTTTCTGCAGAGCCCCAGAGTTGCCAGCATCCTCTTTGGGAATCCTCCTGCCAGGCGGGCAGTTAGGTAGTTTTAGGAAGGCCTGCTGAGCATGTGTAGGGAGCATCGCGCATGCTCTGTGGAGTGGGCAGGTTTAGCAGGCTAAAGCTGTGGGCTTTACTACTGTTCGCCCGCCTCCCCCGCCCAGCATGCCCCCTCCTCTTCTTCCCGCCCCCAGCACGCGTTCCTCGCAACCACCCCGTCCCTCCTCCCCTCCCCCCCTCTCCCCACCCCACTGCACTCCCGGGCTGGGGAACCTCCATTGACGTGCCTGTGACGCCGCTGCGCTGCTGCCGCCACGGGGGTTCCTAGCGCCATACTGCCATACAGGTACCACGGCGGCTGCCGCCATATTGCCGGCGTAGGGAGCCGGGAGGGGGCCCGGGAGCGCGGGGGGGGGGGGGGGGGGGGAAGCGGGGGGGGGGAGCCCTGCAGAGCTTTGCGGGGCGGGCAGCAAGAGGTGTACAGCGGCTGCTGCTCGAGGGGAGGCAGTACTGAGTAGTCTTCTCTTTGGACGCAGCAGTCGGCGGACACCCCGCTCTCCCAGCTCCTGAGATATCCACCGGTGACGAGGTCAGCGGTCACTGAATACGGGGCTCGGAGTCTCTTCCGAGGCGGCAGCGAGGATGCTCAGCAGGCGGGATGTGTGCTGGTGCTGGAGACGGGCAGCTCCTGTTCGAGTGCTCCTGAAGAGGCGATGCTACCATTCGCTGCTCCGGAGGATACCTGGGACGACCAAGAAATGGAGGTGTTTGGCAGCAGCGGTGGGGCATGTGGTGGCGGCGAGGTGAGTGTGGTGGGCGGGACCGGCTGCAAGTCTGTAGCCCCTTGTCCCGGGAGAGCCTGGCCAGGCGGGAGAGCGGGGTGCCAGGCGAGCGCCCCCACCCCCTTCCCGGGGGCCCGGACCTCTGGCAGCAAGGAGGGCGGGAAAGGGTACCGGGCAGTGGGCTAGAGCTCCCAATTCCTAGCTGCGGCTTGACCTCCCGAGCTCCGGGCTCCGGAGGTGCGGCCACGCTAGAGTTTGTTCTAAGTTTCTTCACTTCCAACCCGAAGCGGGACTGGGGGACACGCGCGGTGCCTTGCACGACTCCGTGCGTTCTTCTTACAACATGCTGCCTCTGCTCTCTGAGAATTGGAGTTGGGGACCAGAGCTTATGGTTTAACTTCAGTGTTTTATGAATTCAGGGAAACAAAAACACACCAAGGTGACCAACTCTAGGGACTTTAATCCTAAGGGACAAGTGTTTCTTGGTAACAGCATTCTTATTTCTTTGCAGCCTCCTATTTTCTTTTACCTTAATTGAAGAACTGGCAGTCAGTATGTGCAGGTGAACTGTTGCTACCTGTTCGCAGTTCCCCCTTCTCGTGCCTTTTTTCCTTCAACCCTGAACCCTTTTCCAGCCTGCATACCTGAACCTTTGGTGGGTACCAGAGGCAAAGTGATTCCCAGACCTTATAAGACCGATTTGGGGAAAGCTGAGCCAAGTTGAACCAAAATACTTCCGTTCTCCCCTTTTCCCGCCGTTCTTTCTTCTGAAACTGTACTGACTTGACTGTGTTTTGCACTTGGGCCATGAGAACTTAGATGTGCACAGGTATTTTGTTGTTTTGTTACAAAATGCGAGCCACATTTAAAAATAAAAACCTACCTATTGGGATAGAAAGTTGGATCCTTTCCTAGTCGCTTAATCATAAGCATAGTATTCCAGTAGAGGCCACCATACACCTCCTAAAATAGTTGTTGAATACCAGTTTGATTCACAACAGAATGTTTGGAGGTAAGACTCAGTCAGAATCCTCGAAATCACCAGGGTGAGCCTTTGTCTTCAAATATTGTTCCAGCTCAAGAAAAACATGCCTTGGATTATTGTATGGTTACTTGTCCCTTTTCCCTTTCCATTATATTAATTTAAGCTAGAGTTAGATTACATTACATGTTAGAATAACTTGCAACAAGAGATTTTTTGGAAATAAATTGAATGAAGTACTGTGGAATGGAAATCTTTATACAGACAAATATTTTTAAACTAAGTGATTCCAAAGTGTTTTAATATTCCAAATTTCTTAAGAATTGATTAAAAGTGAGATGAATGAAAAATTTTAAATTTTCTTAAAATGTGGAAATTGTAGCTTCATAGATAAAATATCTAACTAGACTATGGGGGTGGGGAGATTTTGTTTCATTGTGAATATCAAGTATTTATATGGGAAGTAGGGATCTTTCAAATATCTACTATTTTATGTCTAGGTGTGCTTAACTTTGAATGTACGGTCTTCTAAATTGTAATTAGCACGCACATTTTTTTTTAATTTGCAGTATGTTTTAGGAATTGTAGATATTTAACAATAGGTTTCTACCTCTGCAATTTTGACAAATACTCCAGTGGAAATTGGTAAAACATATGAAGTAAAAACAAAAGGTGAAGGTAATGTGGTGAAGGTATTATTTCTGCTTCTTTGTCTAAAACCATTTTGATTGGTTAGATCTCACCCAGCAAATAAGTCTATTAAAATATTTGGGGTGAAATTTTAGTGCTACATGTTGGCAGACCCATTTTGTTTTTGTTTCTTGTGCTGATGTTCATAAAAAAAGCAGTTTTAATTTATAGAGTTTATGTTTATTTTCATTACACCTTTTGATATTGACTTTGGAAATTCTGGTTTTTAAGTTTGAACTTTACATTTCTCAACTGTGATAGTTTTTAGAATAAAGGTATTTTTATTGTGTTATGTATATGTTATTATATATAATGGGATATATAAAATGTGGTGGAATCCTTTAAAAATGCAAGTATAAATTTGTTAATTTTGATGTCAAAAGAAATAATTTCTCTGTGCTTATCACTGGTAAGAGTAAATAAGAATTATTAAATTATAGCCACTCATATATTTCAAGTTTTTTTCAATGTTTACCTTTCTTGCTTATGTGAGCAGTTGACAACTTTATAATTATCTTTCAGCAGTGTTCAAATTGATTGTTTCTGAATCTGAACATGTTTGCCCACAAGAAAACCATGGATAGTAACAGTTTTCGATCGATGCACTATAGCAAGCTATACAGATGAAGAGCTTAATTATTGTTGGAAAGTTTTTCCTATGGAAAAATGTGTCGAGGTTTCAATCAAAAATTAGTTTGTTTCCATTGAATAGTAAGTAGAAAATGGGCCTGCAGAAGGGAAAAAATGGGCTCCATTGGCTCCTGGGGAAAGATTCTTAGAAACAGGGACATAAGGAAAGCAAGACGCTCTGGTTGTGAGTGCCCTTGCAGGGACTGTCTCAATTAGGTCTGCTGGGAATAATAACTTCAAAGGGCATCACCCCTCAGGAAGCTGCAATTTTAGCTCTTGCCTGGATTCTGTCAGGATCAGGGAAGAGGTGTTACTTGAGATGGTATTGGTTGTTCCTGGGCAAGGGTCATAAAGAACAGCTTGTTTTAGTACCATGAATTCTTCATGAATTAGTTCCATGAACATTACAGTTTGTATAGTTTCTGGGTTTTTTGGTTTGTTTATTTTTTGGTGTGTGAATATTTGCTTCTTTATGAAAGAATTGATTATAGAGTTTTGAAATTGCATATTATATAATAAATATTGTACTAGAATTCTGGTACTTTTATATTATCAATATGTTTTTGTTTAAGGGCGTTAGTTGGGGAGTAATTTAATTCATTGATGAAAGCAGTTTGAGCTTAAAGCTATAGTCATTAAAATTTTAACCAGGGTAGATTGAGAAAACTTGCAAGTTTTAATTAATTTTTATGGTGCTCTGTAGTAATAAAGGAAAGACCATGAGCATTGAAAGCAGATGAATCTGTATTCCAGCCCCTAAATAGATATATGATATTACATGTTACCTTTATAAACGGGAAGAAGAGATATTTTCAAAAGTTTATATGTAAAGGAAATTCAGTACTGCGTTTAATACACTTAGCAAGTTGACTTTCATATATGGAATGTGTTTAATAAATAGTAGTTCTCTTTATTTTCCCATTAAATTCTTAATTATTATCATGTATATAAAAATCCTGGGGGTTTAGGTAGTTATAACCATAGTCCCAGCCTTTCTATAATGTGATTTTTAAAAAACACCTCCCTAAATCTGATCTTTTCATTCAAAGGTATTGAAGTTGTCATTCTGCATCTTTATAATCACCGATAGGATGATACAGAAATACATAGGAGATCATATATAGGAATATTTAGAGGGATAGGAAGAGACAAATTTTATTCTTGCAAGTGGTTAATGAGGCATTTCATTGACATTCTGTTTTGTTAGGTTTTTGTTGTTGCTGTGTTTAGAATTCTTACTGAGTACAGACAACACATTATAGAGCAATAATGTGAAATGCCTGAAGATACATTTCTGAATCATATTCTTCCCTCATTCATTTAATTTAGGTGAGAAAGACAGGAATTTGGGAAATTGTTATAGTAAGTGACACAAGATCATTTAAGAAGGGGTACAGTGATAGCCATGGTGGTTTTGGGATAAATCTGATAAGGCATTGTGAAGAAGGTTGGATTTGATCAGGGTATTTTAGAGTGATAATATTTCCATAGTAGTGAAAGAAACAATTCAAATGGGTGGAGACAGTATAAGCAAAACTGTACTCCCTTTGGAAAGTAGAGGTCTGGTATCACTGGGATGAGTCTGTGTTGTAAGAGTGGGAATATTTTGTGAAATCACATGAATTGTATAGGTTTTTAAAGCAAGTTTATGACTACAATTTTATTTTGTTAATGTAAGCTATTCTGTAAATTTATTTTGTAAATGTAAACATTAAGTGGAATCATATTTATGCTTTGAAAAATGACAGTGGCATTCCCGGGGATAGATTGGAATAGGTGAAATATTGAAGGTGGGAATATCAGGAGACTGTTGTATTCATAGAAAGAGAGTGAGAATTTTGGAGGAAAAGTGAGAGGTTAGCAAGATAACTGATCAGAGACATCTTGCAGAACAAGAATAGATAGAGCATAGTAACTGATTAGATGTTAGAAAAAAGAGGCTAGGCTGAACAGCTGCCATTAGAAGCCTGAAAGTCAGAATTATTTCAGTTAAACAGGTAATGTGTGCTTGCTAATATAAATCTATGCTAGGCAGTCAATCCTTGAAGTAGAAAGAGAAAAAAAGCAAGGTGAACATCCTTCCTCTCCAGTGTAGTCTTGAACAATAGTAGCCTATTCCCATTTGGCCATCTTTGTAATGGTTCAAAATATTTAGTACCTATATACTTATTATTAGCTAATCCGTGCATTTAAAGTGATCCTTATTCACATTATTTTTGCTTCACCAAATGTTTGAAGTGATGAATAGTCACAAAGAGTCAGGAGCATCTGCATATCTTATATATTCTTGCCAGGTTTATATTGAATACACCCCTCTCCTATAGAAGTCCCTTCCTTGTTTTTCCAAGTTTATCTTTAAGCCAGTCTAGTCTCCAAATATTCAGGTCAGCTCATTCTAGGGCAGGGCCTCTACATTTCCCTACCTTGATTAATTCATCATGAGAAGTAATCATTACCTTGATGTTCCATAATAGGACCAACCAGTGGTGCAGTTGTTTTCTTGGGCCACATTATTTAAAACTCGTGCTCATAGTCTTCTCATTTCTACTTTTGAGAAGGAAATCAAGATATTTATCTTCCTGTGCTTGTGCTTGTTTCCATGGTTGCTGCTATCATTGTATTTAGTGATAGTTCTAAAGACTTAATAAGCACACGAAATTCAGTACTTTGTCAGAATTTGACATATGCTTACTTATGTTATTTCTAAGGATTATTTACT